CAGAGAGAGAGAGAGAGGTCTTCCATCTGCTGGTTCACCCTGTAGTTGGCCGCAATGACTGGAGCTGGGCTGGTATGAAGCCAGGAGCCAGGAGCTTCTTCTGGATCTCCTATGTAGGTGCACTGGGGCTATCTTCTACTGCTTTCTCAGATGCATTAACAGGGAGCTGGATCAGAATTGGAGTAGCCAGGACTTGAACTGGTGCCGATATGGGATGCTGGCACTGCAGGTTCTGGTTTTAACTACCTCACAGGGCCGGCCCCAGACATTTTTTTATAATGTTTATTTTTTATGATCCTTTTGAAGACCTTAAATATATTTAATTCTGTTGCTTTTGGTATAGTTTATCTACCCTTACAATCAAAGTCTGGATTCTCTTAGAATTTATATGTTATCTGGCCAGCGCCGCGGCTCAATAGGCTAATCCTCCGCCTAGCAGCGCTGGCACACCAGGTTCTAGTCCCGGTCGGGGTGCCGGATTCTTTCCCAGTTGCCCCTCTTCCAGGCCAGCTCTCTGCTGTGGCCAGGGAGTGCAGTGGAGGATGGCCCAAGTACTTGGGCCCTGCACCCGCAGGGGAGACCAGGAGAAAGCACCTGGCTCCCTGCCTTTGGATCAGCGCCGTGTGCCGGCCACAGTGTGCTGGCTGCAGCGGCCAATGGAGGGTGAACCAACGATAAAGGAAGACCTTTCTCTCTCTCTCTCTCTCTCTCTCTCACTGTCCACTCTGCCTGTCAAAAAAAAAAAAATTTATATGTTATCTCTACCAACAGATATGTCTGATGATATGTGGATATTGGTATTTTGTGCCTCCAGCTGAGGTCCTTGCTTTCCTGTTGGACCTAATTTACAAATTTTTATTTCACATAGTAATAATTTGTAAAAAATATTGTTATCGTTATGAATCTTTCTGGCGCTATTGAGACAGTTTCTTAAGAGAAAGTTGGGCTATCAAATTATAAATATTAAGTTTTTTTTTTTTTTTTGGACAGGCAGAGTGGACAGTGAGAGAGAGAGAGAGGTCTTCCTTTTGCCGTTTGTTCACCCTCCAATGGTCGCACAGCTGGCGCGCTGCGCCTGGCGCACCACGCTGATCCAAAGGCAGGAGCCAGGTGCTTATCCTGGTCTCCCATGGGATGCAGGGCCCAAGCACTTGGGCCATCCTCCACTGCCTTCCCAGGCCACAGCAGAGAGCTGGTCTGGAAGAGGGGCAACCCGGAAAAAATCCGGCGCCCTGACCGGGACTAGAACCCGGTGTGCCGGTGCCACTGGGTGGAGGATTAGCCTATGGAGCCGCGGCGTCAGCCAATATTAAGTTTCTATTTAAAATATTTACATCTCCTCTAAGCTGTTTAGGCATTTGTCAGTTATATTTCTTTATCCAGTCTCAAAAGAGTCCAAAGTACCTTTTGTGAGGCTTCTTAGTGTTAACTTCTCCCAACCCTTCAATAGTAATCTTGAATAATTTCTTTTTTTAAAAGATTTATTTTTATTTATTTGAAAGACAGTTACACTGCGAGAGAGAGAGAGATAGAGAGAGAGAGAGAATCTTCCATTCGCTGATTCACTCCCCAAATGACTTCAACAGCCAGAGCTGAGCTGATCCGAAGCCAGGAGCCAGAAGCCAGGAGCTTCCTCCTGGTCTCCCATGTGTGTGCAGGGCCCAAGGAGTTGGGTCATCTTCTACTGCTTTCCCAGGCCATAGCAGAGAGCTGGATCAGAAGAGGAGCAGCTGGGACCAGAACCCAAACCCATTCCTAACCAAATACTCAGTTCCATCTTTTCATTCTTTTTTCTTTTTCCCTTTAAGGTTTCTAAGTTTCAATAGACGTTCCTTCAAGTTGCTGATTTTTTTTTTTTTTTTTTGGCTGTATCCAATCTCATGAGCCCATCAAAGGCATTCTTCATTTCTCTTATGATGATTTTGATCTAGTATTTCCTTTTGATCATTACTAAGGGGTGTTTCTGCTTACATTACCATCTGTTCTTGTATGTTGTCCACTTTTCCAATAAAGTCCTTACCCTATCAATCATAGTTGTTTTAGATTTGCAGTATGAGAATTCCGATGTTTCTGCCATATCTTAGTCTGGTTTTGATGGTTATTTTTTCTCTTCAGACTGTGGAGGGTTTTTGTTATTGTCGTTGTTGTGGTTCATTTTGCCTTTTGGCATACTATTGATTGATTATTGAAAGCCTTACATGATATAATAGGTAAGACAAGTCAGGTGGATTGGTCTTTAATGTGAAGTTTTATGTTTATGTAGTTAAGAATTAGATAGTGTTGTTTGCTGTAGCTGGGTGTCAGAGGCTAAAATTTCATTTAGTGTCCTTGTTTTTTGTTTCCTATCATCATTGGATTTTCCTAGAGACCTTACATATGACATGAGTCTTATAATTTTAGTTGCAATCCCTTGGTATTTAACAGGAACCTTGTTGATGTGTTTGAACTTTTCCAACTAGAAACTGGAAGTTCCTGTGTTTCTTACTAGATGAAGATAAAATTTTAAAACATAGTTAGCCTCATAAGCCTTTTCTTTTCATCTATGGACACCATTTCCAGTGACTATTTGAACACATGATATTTGAATATAAATACATTTTCGAATCTGCTTTTCAAAATTATCTTTTCATTTTTTAATTTGTCTAAATGCATATTGCAATCTTATGCAGTCTGGAAGGCAATGAATGAATCCTTAACACTTTTTTCCTAAGCCTTGATTCAGAAATTAGAAAAGATTTTTTAAAATAAGAAACACTTAGGGACAGTGAGAAGAATTCTTGTACCATTTTAAAGCATACTCAACATGCCAGATAGTATCCTGTGAGTATAAAGAGGGATAAAAGTGGGATACCCAAATCATTGTGTTCGAAGACTAGTCAAGTGACAGTCAAGCTAGTGTGTGGTATAATAACATTCAGGCATGTTGAGGGGAACATGGGGAGTGGGTCACTCTGCTCTACCTTGCAGGATTGGGGTGGGGCAGGGAGAGTTGCCTGAAATAAACTGACTTATGATCTGCAGAGAGAACTACCTAAGAAATGGCCATTTTAGTTTATTGTGGCTTTTCTTCTACAGGCAGGAATTTGAGAGCAAGGCAAAATAGACAAGAAAGTTAGTGTTTCTTTAACTCTTACTTGATATGTGGTTTTGTTATTTAATTTGATGTACTGCAAATCCAGAGTATATATTCGGCCTGTAATATATTTCAAAACCAAATATAACCAATTTTAGAATTCTTTTGCATTATCCTGTAGTATGAAATCTGAGAATTAACTGTAATATTACAGTTATATTGCTATGAAGTTTGCACTGCTACAGTAGTTTAATTTTTAAATTTTCAAATTGTTCCTGAAGTATTTTACATAGTGATAGAATTCATTTGATTTTGAATTAACTTTGATTGGCTTGTTGTTGTCTTAAATGTAAGGTAAATGTAAGGATATTTTATGATTTCATAGGAAATTTTCAGAAATGTTAAGCTACTCATTTTACCTAATCTCATTTACTTAAGCTATTTCTGTTAAAATGGCAGACCATTGTATAACTTTATACACATAGTTAGTCTAAACCTACATATTTTTAATTTACTCTTTCAAGTCTACAGTGTCATTACTTTATAGTAAAAGCATAATGAGCATAATTGTAACTAGTACATTGAGATGTAAGAATACTATTTGATTAATGATTATTACCTAATTCCAGTGTAGCATCATAACTTTTAAATTATCATACCAGCCAAGTAAAGCTTTTCAAGCATACATGTAATATACTGTTTGTAAAATGAAATGAATACGTATACATAGAAGAATTTTGGACTTCGTAAAGAAAGCAGAATAAAGAACCTATTTTAGATTGTGGAATATAGCAATAAAGCAATTGACATCTCAATTTTCCAAAAAAAAAAAATCATCTTCTGATTTTATTTCATAAAATTTGACTTTTAATTATGTTGCTGCTAAAATTATTCTCTGAGGTATTTTGCACAGATAAGTAAAGGCGTTTTGGGGAGGAGATAAGCTTCTTAAAATGACCATTCAAACCATCTAGTGCCTATTTGCTTTTATTGCAAACATCCCTTTTCTCACTCTTGGCCTTCCTTAATAGGAATAGCCTATTGGTTTTCTATTGCCGCTCTAGTAAATTACCTAAGTGTGATGGCGTAAAGCAGTACAAGTTTATTATCTCCCAGTTCCTTAGATCAGAAGTTCAGTATGAGCCTCACTGAACTGAAATCAAGGTATGGCCTGGCTGTTTTAAGCTCTGGGGGAGAATCTGTTCACTGCCTCTTTGCTTTGTTGGCAGAGCTCACTTCCTTGCAGCTGCAGGACTGAGGTGTCTCATTTTCTTACTGGATGTAAATTAAAAGTTCTCTCACTTTCCAGAGGCTCCCACATTTGTTGCCTTGTGTTGTCTTTTCTCCCCCATCAAAGCCAACGACAAGCTGTGGAGTCCATCTCACTTCACTTCCCTCTGGCACTGTTCTTTTGTAATCTTCTAACTTCAAGATTTTTATGATTATAATGCATTTACCTGGATAAAACAGGATAATCTGGTCTTCTTAAGGTCCTTAACCTAACCATATATGCAGCTACTTTTACCATGTAGCATAACACATTTGTAGGAATTAGGTTCCAGCTTTGCGGAGTGGGACATTGTTTTTGTCCCCCACAAACAATAATATTTTCTTTTCTGTTTGAAATATCTTGGACTCCCTTGAAAAAGAAAGCCCTTTATATATTTTTTTGTGAGTTTAGGTTAGTTGTTCTTAATCCTTAGTATAAGGTACATAATTATTCATACAACATGGGGAAATAAACTGTTACAGGTACTGAATCAATAAGGAGTCTTTTAAAGTAGTGTCAAAATATCCCAATCTGAAGAGATATTCACTCACATGAATAACTTCCAAAAATTTACCAAAACTTATATCAATTTTGATAATATATGACATTATATCTTAATTAAGACATTAATCTGAATGTTATTTCTTTGCTCCTTAGATCATCACGAAGTATGTATATGAGCTCCTGGAAAAGGATTGTAATTTGAAAAAAATCTCTATTCCAGTAAGTCCAATTTTAAAATAATGTTAATTCTATAATACATTGCGTTCCTTGAATAAAATAATTTTCAATTCAGAAAATAGAGTTTTGTTTTAGATTAATTGTGATAAGTGTAAATGTAAAGGTCCTAATGTGTTGATATTGATAAAAATAACTTTAAATTCCTGTCAGTATACCTCATCCCACTGTGCACAGTAGTTCTTATCAAGTAATACTCTTCAGTGAATTGAGAAGAAATAATAAGTTCCAGTCTTTTAGAAACTGGTGTCATGATGAAAAGGATTATCCTTTCCTCTCCTTTCTCATTCCATTGGGTATTTTATTTATTTGAATAAATCCATGCATATTTTGTTGGATTAGACACTATAAATATTTGTTGATTTTTAAAAACATGGTTTATTTCTACACATAATATGTTACCTCTGCACATTCCCAAATTCATTCTTGGTCCTTTCTGTTTTAACACTACTCCTGGCAGAACAGTTTTTTGAGATTTTTTTTTCACATTTTCCATTTCAGAGTGAAAAAGTTTGAGATTTGTTCTTAGACTCAAATTCTCAAAAGAACAAAAATCCTTTTTGTTTTTCATTTAAAACAAAATATTAAGCTTTCAAGTGAAGACATAGTAATTTTATATGTGAAATGATAGACGGACTAGATTAGATGTTGGTATCCATAACGACCCTTAGATTTTATGATATATAAGAATCTGAAATACTTGATAAAAATGACTCATTTAGTGCACAAAACTTTGCATATCAAAAATTTTGTTTGCATAAAATTTTGCATGAGATTTACAAATTCCTCAGGGAATGATACTGTATTTTTTTGAAGATTTATTTATTTATTTGAAAGAGTTACACAGAGAGAGGAGAGGCAGAGAGAGAGAAAGAGAGGTCTTCCATTCGTTGGTTCACTCCCCAGTTGGCTGTAACAGTTGGAGTTGCGCCGATCCAAAACCAGGAGCCAGGAGCTTCTTCCAGGTCTTCCATGCAGGTGCAGGGGTCCAAAGACTTGGGCCATCTTCTGCTTCTTTCCCAGGCCATAGCAAAGAGCTGGATCAGAAGTGGAACAGGCAGGATTCAAATCGGCACCCATATGGGACACCAGCACTTCAGGCCAGGGCATCAACATGCTGCGCCACAGCGCTGGCCCCGATACAGTATTTTTAATTGGACAGTTTGAGGATTTCTTAATCCATCTCCACAGTTGATTCTATAGCTCAGGTTTTTTAAAAAACACTTTTTTTTTAATTTAAAATATGTTGATCTGTAAGGCTCTAGAGAGAGAGATAGAGAGGCAGACAGAAGGAGGTCTTGTATCCACTGCCTCACTGCCGGAATAACCACGATAGCCAGGATAGGCCAGGCCAAAACCAAGAGCCAGGAACTCCACCTGGGTCTACCATTGTGGGTAGCAAGGACCCAAGTAACTGAAGGCATCATCTGATGTCTCCCAGACTGTGCATTGGCAGAAAGCTGTATCAGAAGCAGAGAAGCCAGGACTGGAACCAGGCACTGATATGGGATAGAGATGTTGCAAGCTGTGACCTAATTACTATTCAAATGCCCACCCCAAGAAATCTTATTTATATTTAACTTTTTATAGGTAACCTCAAGTGCTATGGTGTCATTGTTAGTCTTCATTCATTCTTTCAATAAATATTTCTTTAAGAATCTTGTAGGTGCTAGACACTGTTCTAAATCCTTGTGACCTATTAGTGAATGAAACATCATTCTCTATAATAGCTGGTTCACCGTTTGGTTTATTTGGAAACTGTCCTTCATTCAGAAATAAACTAAAGCCAATATTTTAATAGCTTTTTGATAGTGAATAAGCAGTCTTTTTTGTGATTTATACTTCTGTTTTTTGTTTGTTTTTTGACAGGCAGAGTTAGTGAGAGAGAGAGAGGAGAGAGAGAGAGAGAGAAAGGTCTTCCTTCTGTTGGTTCACCCCCAAAATGGCTGCTATGGCCAGCACTCTGTGCCATTCCAAAGCCAGGAGCCAGGTGCTTCTTCCTGGTCTCCCATGTGGGTGCGGGACCCAAGCACTTGGGCCATCCTCCACTGCCTTCTCAGGCCACAGCAGAGAGCTGGGCTGGAAGAGGAGCAACCAGGACAGAATCCGGCGCCCCCACTGGGACTAGAACGAGGGGTGCCGGTGCCGCAGGCAGAGGATTAGCCAAGTGAGCCGTGGTGCCAGCCTATACTTCTGTTTTAATTTGGGTGTTTTAGACCTTGTGCTTTACTCTACTAAAACTGTGTATTGACTGTGGTCTTCTGGAAACTCGGAGTAGAATTTTGTCACTTTGTTGAGGTTCCTTTCATGTTAATTTTGTTTTCTTTTGCAGTTTCTGAAGAGTGATATTTTAAAAACCGAAGGCTGATTCATTGATACAACACAGTTAATAGAGTCTTCATATTGTGCTCCACAAATATAAACAATCATTACGTATAAAAAATATATTGAATCCTGGCCAGTGCCACGGCTCAATAGGCTAATCCTTTGCCTGCGGCGCCGGCACACCAGGTCCTAGTCCCGGTCAGGGCGCTGGATTCTGTCCCGGTTGCCCCTCTTCCAGGCCGGCTCTCTGCTGTGGCCAAGGAGTGCAGTGGAGGATGGCCCAAGTACTTGGGCCCTGCACCCGCATGGGAGACCAGGAGAGGCACCTGGCTCCTGCCTTTGTATCAGCGCGGTGCGCCTGCTGCAGCAGCCACTGTGGGGTGAACCAACGGCAAAGGAAGACCTTTCTCTCTGTCTCTCTCTCTCACTGTCCACTCTGCCTGTCAAATATATATATATAGAATCCTGTAACTCTAGAAGTTGAAGTTCCATATAATCCTTAAACTCACATCAGTCACCATGCAATGAGTATAGTCGTGAATTTTTGCTTCAGTAGCTTTTATTTTTCTCCTGATTTTTCTTAAATCTCAGAGCTAGTGGTTTTGTTTTGTTTTGTTTTTGAGAAGAGTTCTTTTTACTAAAAGAATATTACCAAACCTTCTTTTCCTGATGATGAACTGGTTTTAGTATTATAAAAATAAGATTTATTTTTTATTTAATTGACAGCACTTTGTGGAAACCCATGACTTGCTGGTAAAGATCATGATCCTGTCATATTTACTTCACACCTCACATAAATAGGCACAGAGTATTCTCAATTATTGTATCTGTACTTCTGTAGAATATTGGATACATAAATTCACCTAATATCTTAATTCCAATTTTTAGTTCAGTTTATTACACACAACATGTTTAAATGAAGCAGCACAATTAGTGAAGTTCATTAGTATCTCAAAATGAATTGTTAACTCCTAGAAATTGTTTGGTGCAGTCTCAGTGACCTAATGGTGTTTGAAGTTGATTTGTCAATAAAGTTAAGTGGTGTGCTGGAATGACCTTTGTGTGTATTCCTTAGTGAAAGTTTAGCTTACTGAATTACCGCTGTTTGAAGACAAGTAGCCTTGGAACAGACATTTCCAAACAATTAGTTTAATGAAAATTTATTTTATTCCTGCAGGTATTTTACTGCATCAAATTAGTACACCTTTATACAGAGTAAGTTATGGTTACCATATGTAGAGTCAGAATTTTGGGTTAAATTGAGGTGAATATCACCTAATAACCAACTCAGATGTTGCTCTTACCACTTAATTATTAGTATGATTTTATTGTTCTTCTTTATTGTTTTTTTTGTTGAGAATTACGAATTCTCATGTTTTCGAAGTCCGTTTTTCTGAATATTGAAGTAAAACATTTATTCATTTATTTATAGCTATCTTAATTAGTTACCCTCTAAAAATTCTTGAGCAGCATTATTGTATATACGAACTACATTTTGTTTTCTGAAAATAAGTACTCTTTCAGTTTTAAAGTGATTATCTGGAGTTCAAAATGACAATATCCCATTGTTTAAATAACTGACTCAACTCTGATAACAAAAGACTTAGTCAAACAGAAAAAAAGAGTCAATAATAAAGGGTAGTGATCAGAACCCGCTGGAAAGTGTATAGCTACAGGTTTTTTCATTAAGATAAATAGATGTCCATTTCCATGGCCACTTTAGGCCCCATTAAGGACTCACTGACATTAAGAGGCCCTTTTGTTTGTGCGTGTTTAGATGTACTCTGGTAATTGAATGGCTAGAACCTCTGTAGCCTCTTTTTTATTGTACGCTGACAGCTTTGCCTTTTAATTTTTTCCCTTTGTTGTTATCACCATTTTCCATTTTTTAGCTATTTTAACTGTGTGATTTGCCTGTTTTTATATAATGGTCCTAGATAAAAGGGAATTTTTCTTCTCAGTTAAGTTTTCCTGTCTGTCATCACTTCTCTTCTGTGTGACTTCACATTCACTGTCATCATCATAATTTGGTTTCCCTGGACATAACAACTAAGGTGAAACTGAGGTGATTGTTTTACACTTCCTGCTTCTCTTCCTGCATTTTTAGTTGCTAATAATAAAGTTACAGTTATGTCATTTTAATTCTTTGTGCAGCCTCCTCAAATTAATTTAATCTTTAACATATGGTTTGTGAACTAGGTGAGTGTTACAAACATTTAAGAGGATGACTTATTTGGTTAAAAGTCTTTTGTCTACAGGATGTCACTGGTGATGCTTGATAGATTTCCTTATTCCAAAAGTTTATTTATTCCCCCTGAGTGCCTACAGTGTGGCAGGCTCTGTTCTAGACACTGGAAATGTAGCTGAATACAAAACAGAGAACTTTGTGCCTTCTTGAGTATATTCTGTTGTGGAGAGTGAATGTGAATAAACATATTCACAAACAAATACACAAAGTAAAGCTTATAATATGTTGGATTGTGGTATATGCTGTGGAGGAAAATGAAACAGGGAAAGGGATGAGGGAATTCTTGGGGAGGTGTTTTTCCAAGCCCCATGGCCATTCTGTTCTCACTAAACAATGGCTGTGTGTACAGTTCACACAAATGGCTAAGCACCTGTACCTGAGGCCAGTCTGTTTTGGAAGTAGAGAAATTCGTTTTCTTTTTTTATTTCCATGTATATTAATGGGAAACATTGAGAATCCTGAGCATTTTTTGGCATTGGTATTTTTTTGCTCTACAGTTGTATGAACTTACACTGTGGAAAAAGTAAAGAGCTGTTATATTACATAGCATGTGGACTGACCTGCTCTGGTCTGGGGCTGTGTGTTACTAGCCATCAGAACTCTTCAGCTTTTCACTCTGACCTTACTGTACAAAGGCTTCCATTTTTGGTTACTGCTCCTGCCAATGTGGGATACCACTAAGTGTGTGCCATGACATAGGGAAGTTACCTCTTCCCACATCTTTTAAGTCAAAATCATATATCATCTAGTTACAAATGTAACTATTAAGAATAATCAAAATACATTAAATACTTTTTCATCCAAAAAAGGTTATTGGAGAACATAAATAATCCTGCTTCATAAAATAATTGTTATTTAATCCTGTGTTCACAATCTGAATGAAAGCTGAAAGTCTATTTGCATAAAACAAAATATATTTGAATTTTAAAAGTTTGACGGTATTTGTGGTTAATAATATGATTTTCCAGCAGGTGTATCTTTCACTTGGGGCCTTTTTTCTGTTATTTATGCAATATTCTTATATAATTATAATTATGTTATAGAATTATAAATTTAATAAGTGTGGTTTGGGGCAACCTATTTAAACTTCCTAAATCTCAATATCTTCATCTATACGTGTATGTTATAATGGCTCTACTTTAATGAAATTATGATTAAAAGGGATAATACTTTTAAAACAACAATACCTGGTCCATAGGAAGCATTCAGAATTGTTATTTAAAATGATAATATAATATTAAATATACAATAATATTTCCAATATTCTTTTTCTAATGTTTAAGTGAATGTCATATCTTGCTCATCCACCTATTGTGTGATTGTTAATCTCTAATGCATATGTTGTTATTTTTACTTCTGTACTTCTGTAATGACCACTCATGTATGCATATGCCTGATCAGAAAACAGTGATTTATTAGTATTATTATTATTTTTCAATTACAGGTAGATGCTACTGAGAATGAACCAAAGAGTTTCATCTTCATGAGCGAAGATGCTTTGACAAATCCACAGAAATTGATGGTTTTAATTCATGGGAGTGGTGTTGTCAGGGCGGGTCAGTGGGCTAGACGACTTATTATAAATGAAGATCTGGACAGTGGCACGCAGATACCTTTTATTAAAAGAGCTATGGATGTAAGTGCAATTTCCTTTATCTTTTGCATTTTATTATTCTTACAAATTATTTCTTCATATCACTTCAAAACGTATATTCTAAGCATGATCTTATTCTCAAGTTATTATTGATTTACTTGAGTGAAAAGTCGTTCTTCATTATTTTGTAGTTAAAGGAAGAACAAAGTGGTATCATGAGCATACACAGATTTTGATGATGTGCTTGAAATGATTGTTTTCAGTTCTGATTTTTTTGTAGTTTTAATTACACAGAATAGCATTTAAACTATCACATACTCAGCAACATTTAATGTGTTGCCAACACAGCTATGGTGACTACTTAAGACTTTGCTTACCTAATTTAATGAGGTAGGACACTAACGATCTACTATTTTAAACTAATGTCTTTTTTAAAGGAAAAGTTGAACCAACACGGGTTTGGTGTGTGTGTGTAATTTCTTTAAAATATTTTTAGAGACCTCAAAATGCTTTAAGAACAAGAGATAGACCTACAAAATGGTACATTGTAATGTTTATTGAAAGCACTGTTCTTACTTGAATTCAAACTTTTTAGAAACTTTTTTAAAGGTTTTCTTTCCTGTAATAGTGAAATTGTTTTTTTCTGACCTATCCTTGTTAAGTCTTAATGTTTAGCTACTTTTGTTTTAATGTCACATTCTTAAATTCTGTAATGAACAATTAAGTTTTGCAGGTATGAGTTTCTTTTACGTGTGAGGCTTTTCTTCAGGAAGAGGTTAATGTACAATCTTGTATAGCAAATTAATATAAGAGGATAAAATATTTAGAAGTAGTGTATGTGTCTATGTATGCTTTATTGGATTCACTTATAAGAGCTATATTATTATATTTTTGTAATTAAAATGGAGAAGAAATTCTTTGACACAATGATGATTACAAAGATCACTTCTCTCTTCCATAAACTCTGGAATGATAATATCAAGGTTCAGCCCAGCTTCTAACAAATATTTTTATTAGTAGATTTTAAAACCTTTAAATGCTGCAGTAATTTCTTAGGTTAATTATATATTTTTTTCAGTTCTCATAGATATGCAAAAAAGACATTTTTGGTTTGGTTGCTAACTTCTATATTGTGCTTTTAGTGTTCTTGAAGTAACTAATGTAAGTCAAAGTTTAGACAGAACTTAATGCTCATAAAATATTATATTTTACATATAGTAAAATGGTTGTTTAAATATTTTAGGAAAAATCTTTATATATTTTAGTAAAAATGTTAAATATGAAATGAGTTCATATCATATTTGAAAAATAACTCTGTCGCTCCCCGTCTTCGTGGAGGAACGACACAGGACCCTGCGCTGTTCTTTTGTCTGCTCGGCCCTCCCCGGGTTTGCTGCTGGTTCTTCCCGGGTTGGCTACTATCCCTTCCACCTCCGTGGAAGGGCGGTTCCCCCTGGCCACATTCCCCACTTCCGCAGGGGAGCGGCACTCCGCCGGCCGGTTCTCTCGGGGGCTGCACGGGTTCCCTTAGATGTTCCCCATAGATGTTCCCGGTGCATGCCGTCTCTCTCCTCCTTTATAGTCCTCCTCCGCCAATCCCAACTCGGCTGCCCACACGCCGAGTACGCTGCTCTCCAATCAGGAGCAAGTCCTACAGTTAATTGGTTGAACTGGAGGCAGCTGTGCGGAAGCTGTTTACTTCTCTCCCAGCGCCATATTGTGGGAGAGCAGATGCATAGAATAAGTCTTAATTCCAGTAACAGTCTAGTCCGGTTTGCTCCCCACATAACTCAGTAAAGAAAATCAGATACTTTCAACATAATAATACTTGGTGAAATATTTTATGTAATTACGTTGTCCTACCTAAACCATTCCTTTTCTAGAATGCTTTGTTGTTGTGTAAGGTTTTTGAGATGAAGAATGTACATGGGAACCCAGGCCAAATTTGTTTGTTTGAACCAGCTCTCCGTTGGTATCCAAAGCAGGAAGAATTTTTTCACTAACGTTAGAATAGTAAATCATTATATTCTTATGAGTAGAAATAGTGGTTTGGGGTTAGCAACATTTCATTGCCTTGACTATTTCCTGCTTTTCTCAATTGTGGCAACTTAATGATTCCTTGAAAAGAAGTGGCTGATTTCTAAGGATTGTGGTGCACTTTGAAATTTTTAGTTTATATATTCTCTTTATTAAAAAAAAAAAAAAAAACCAAAGCTTTAACTTTCTTCATGGTGAAAATATAAAAACATCTATTTCTTTTAAATCTCAATCAGGTGATTTCTGATACTTTGACATCACATGTCCTAGTGTTTTCTCTGGAGGGGGAAGATCTGGAGAAAGACAGATATGGGGTGCAGATGGAGGAAGATCTTTTGGGAGTATACCATTCTTTCTTTTTAATAACAGTAGATCTGCCTTTGTTATTTTTTGGACTTTCCCCAAAATTGTATTTACAGAAGCGTTTCCGTAGTTTAGAAAAGGTGGAGAGCCGCTGCTCTGATTTTCATGGTCTGCCAATTTTCGGATCACAGTGGAAGCAGATTCTGATATTTTCCAGGCCAGAAGACATGATCTCTACTCAGCATTAATAATATTTCTGTATGTGGCCATCCTTGTGGTGCGTGAGTTAACTTCTCTCTTGTGATGCCTGCGTCCTGTATCAGAGCACAGTTCAAGTTATGGCTGTTCTTCCTATGCAGCTCCCTCCTAATGCTCCTGGGAGGCAGCTGTTGATGGCTCAAGTATGTGAGTCCCTGCCACCCACATGGGAGACCTGGATGGAGTTCTTGGCTCTTGACTTCATCTGGGCCCAGCCCCAGCTGTTGCAAGCATTAGGGAATTGAACCAGCAGATAGATGGAAGCTAGATTTCTGTCTCTCTCTCTCTCCCTCCCTCCTTCCTTCCCTCCCTTCGCCTTTCAAATAAAGAAGTAATTTTGTATATTTTATCAGATTTGTAGTAAAATATTGGAAGTCTAAAACTGGATTTGTAACACTGTAAGATTAAGTCTTTAAGTCTTTTTCCCCCAGTGGTAGAAACTGTCTCCAAGTGGAGTTCTGTGAAAATTACTATGTTTAAATCTGGTGAGCCACTGTGGTTGCCACGGAGGGTAGGATTGCAACCACCCCACAATAACCCATGAGGTTTCTTTCCTTGACCCTTAGGGGCTCCAAAGACAACAGTTTGAAACTCATAGATATCCCAATGCTTGCATTTTAAATAGTTCAGAACTTTGTTATCAAACATAGTAAGCTTTTATGTTAGAAGAATGATGTATGTCTGATAATTCCCACAACTACTCCTGAGGTTGTCATAATATTGTTAACATTTAACTGTCTTCATTGCATATTGAAGTATGAGTATTAGTTGGAGTAAGAAACAGCGTATCATATAGCCAGTACTAAATGTTCAGCATCTGACTGTGCAGTTTGGGAGGTAATCATATTTGTTTCTTCTTTAGTTTTTCCTCATCTGCACCTTCCTGGGCATTTCCTTGGCCTCCATAAAAGGCACCGTGGAAGTAGGTGACACTTAAATTCAAGTCATCTGAATACTAAATTGCAGGGCTAGGATTAGGGTGCAAAATTTAAAGACACATTCATTCTCAGGATTATGTATTTGGACATTAGGGCCCTGCGAATGAGTGTCTGTCTGGGGTCTGAGAGTTCACACTGCTAGTATTAGCCTCAATCTTGTTTATGCCAGTAATCTGGGCACCACACTAGAACCTCTGGGGTAGACAATCCTCTTCGGATTGGTTGAGGGCTTATTTATACAGTCAGCATATATCTATGGTGGATTGGTTCCAGGGCCTCCCATAATAAAGTCTGTGGATTCTCAAGACCATTATAAAAAATTGCATGTTTTTTGCCTATAATATACACACATCTACCTGCATACTTTAAATCATCTCTGTATTACTTATAATGCCTAATGGAGTGTGAATGCTATGTAAATAATTGTTATACTGTATTCTTTAGGGAATAATGACAAGGAAGAAATTTGTACATGTTCAGTACAGGTACAATATTTTTTTAAAAGATTTTATTTATTTAGAGAGAGGTGGAGTTATAGACAGTGAGAGGTAGAGACAGAGAGAAAGGTCCTCCCTCTGTTGGTTCACTCCTCAGATGGCCGCCACGGCCGGAGCTGCGCCGATCTGAAGCCAGGAGCCAGGTGCTTCCTCCCGGTCTCCCATGTGGGTGCAGGGTCCCAGGGACCTGGGCCATCCTCCACTGCTTTCCCAGGCCATAGTAGAGAGCTGGATCGGAAGAGGGACAGCCAGGACAAGAATCGGTGCCCAAATGGGATGCCTGCGTCACAGGCGGATAATTAACCTACTACGCCACGGAGCCGGCTCCAGGTACAATATTTTTAAAAAATATTTCCTCCTCACAGCTGGTTGAATCTATTAATGTATAACACACAGATACAGAGGACTGAGTATATTTTTCAGACTCTAGGTATCATGGACTAGGTAGAACTTAATGGCAGCCATATTTATTAAAACAAGGATTAAGAAATTCTAGAAAGTGTTTGTAACAGAACCTGTAAAAAGGAAAAGTATGTCCTATTTAGGATACTTTCCAAATTCTATCTAAATGTCATTTGTACCCAACATCACCTAAAATATATTAATTTTAATAATTTCATGAGATGTCTGGTTACCAACATGTTTTTCCTAATTCTTTGTGGGATTATTCAGAGAAATCTTTTCTCTCTCTATGTATTATCAATGTGATTTTTAATTTGGGTTCTATAACATATTGGACTGAGCTAATTAGCATGCACCCTCCCACTATACTCACATAAAAATAATGGGTAAAGCATAGCAACACATTATTAAATACCTAGTTGCTTTTCAAAATATATATAAAGTGGATAGCATTGTGGGCTGGTGGGATAAGCTGCCTCCTCTGATGCCAGAATCCCATGTGAGTGCTACTTTGAGGCCCAGCTGCTCTCCTTCTAATCCAGCTCCTGCTGATGCACCCTGCCACTCATGTGGGAGATGAGATGCAGTTCCAGGCTTCTGGCTTCCA